CCCCGCTCTTCTCCTCCCTCCCCTCCCTCCCCCTCGGAGGCACAACGTTTGCTCTCCGTTGCGCGCGTGCTTGTTCAAGCCACTGCGCTGTAGCCTCGCCCGTTTACGGGCCAACCCATGTGGTTTGACCGGGCCTCTGTCTGTCTGTCTGTCTGGGCATTCGGGCTTTAAGGTATTAGCCCATTGTGATATCAAGGTGTTAGGGCATCATAGTACTAGTGCATTAGGGCATTAGGGTGTTAGGGTATTCGGGCATTTGGGTGTTCAGGTGGTAAAGGTCCTAGGGTGTTAAAGTGTTAGGGTCTTCAGACCTTAGGGTGTTAGGGTGTCTGGGTGGTAGGGTCGTGGGGTGTTACGGTCTTAGGGTCTGAGGGTCTTAGGATGTTCGGTTATCAAGGTCCTATTGTTGGCGGTTTAGGGTCTTAGGGTCTTACGGTCTTAAGATCTTAGGGCCTTAGGGTCTTCGGGTTTTGAGGTGTTCCGGTGTAAGGGCCGTATGGTATCAGGGTCTTAGGGTGTTAAAGTCTTAGGGCAATATGGTACTAGGGTCTTGGGGTCTCAGAGTCTGAGGGCCTTAGGTTGTTATGGTCTTGGGGCACTAAGTTCTTAGGATCTCAGGGTCTTAGGGCTTCAAGGTATTACGGCGTTGTGGTATTATGGTTTTTGAGTATTATGGTATTATGGTATTATGGTATCGGTGGTATCAGGGTATTAGGGTATGATGGTGTTCGGGCATTACGGTACTCGGGCCTTATGGTGGTAGGGTCTTGGGGCTCTAGTGTGTCAGGGTCTTAGGGTATGAGGGCTCTTGGGTGAGAGGGCCTGTTGGTGTTGAGGTATTAAGGCATTCGGGTATTCGGGTTTTAATTTGGCGCATTGTGATAATATGATGCTGGGGTCTCATAGTATTACGGCATTCGGGTATTACAGTTAAAGTTAGGGTGTTCAGAGTGTTCGGGTGTTAAAGTTAGGGTGTTAAGGCGTTAGGGTCTTCACTAGGGCTAGGGTGTTAATGTGTTAGGGTCTTAAGTCTTCGGGTATCAGGGTGTCCGGGTGGTAGGGTCTTAGGGTGTTATGGCTTTAGGGCCTCAGGGTCTTAGGCTGTTAGGTTCCTCAAGGTCCTATGGTTTTAGGACGTCAGGCCTTATGGGTTTGACGCTTTAGGGTCTTAGGGTCTCATGGTCTTAGGGCGTTCAGGCCTGAGGGTTTTCTGGTCTTGAGGTGGAGTGTTTACATCTTAGGGCAATATGGTACTAGGGTCTTGGGGTTTTAGGGACTGAGGGTCTTAAGCTGTTATGGTCATGGGGTATTTGGGGTATCAGGTTTGCAGGGTCTTAGGATCTTAGGGCGTTAGGGTCCTAGGGTTCTAGGGCATTATATCATTCTGGTACTAAGGCATTAGAGGACTAGGGTCCTAGAGTCTTATGGTCTTAGGGTCTTCGTGTCATAGGGTACTAGGAAATTACCGTCTTAAGGCCTCAGGGTGTTATGGTCTTAGGGTATTAGGGTCTTGGGATTTGAGGGTTTGTAGGTTTTCTGGTCTGCGGGTGTTCTTGTCTGCGTGAAAACGCGCAAAGAGTCCGAATGATCATCATCACCGTATTATCGTCATCATCATCATCATCATCATCATCATCATCATCATCATCATCATCATCATCATCATCATCATCATCATCCTCATCCTCATCCTCATCCTCATCCTCATCATCATCCTCATCCTCATCCTCATCATCATCAGCATCATCGTCATCATCATCATCAGCATCATCATCGTCATCACCACCATCACCAGCATCATCATCAGCATCATCATCGTCGACGGCGTTCTGACCACATCACAATCATCAGCCTTCATCCTCAACACTAGCATCGTCATCATCATGATCATCCTCAACATCAGCATCATCAGAAGCAGCATCATCATCATCATTATCATCACCGATACAATGTATCATGTTGATCACCCCTCGCGAAAACGGCATCCGCTGCCCCCTCGAACGAGAACCGCTGAGCATGCTGGACTGGCACGGTGGCAGGACTTTTCGCAGGCAGCTCGATACTTACACATCCGCTACACGGATAGAGGGCGGATCTTTCCAAGACGGGGCTTTGGACTGAATGGCAGGCCGATTGGGCATTACCTTTCAAGGGAAAGCTTCCCGCAGTGCAAAAGGAACGTTTGTATGGGGATTCTGCGGAGGGGTCTTGGGACAGGAGGATGTATTGCAGAATCGTTGATGCATCCTGGGTTTACTCTGATGCTCCTCCTCCTCCTTACCCGCCTCCTCTCTCATCTCGTTCGTCCTCTATTTCCCTCCATCCTCATCCTAGCTCCCATCCCCTAACTCTCAGCCCGTGGTCCATGCTCATGGCTCCTGGCTCCTGCCGATGCTCAGGCTACCGCATCTGCTCCTGTACCTGTTAATGTTGCTGGTACTGCTACTGGCACTGATGCAGTTCCTCCTCCTCCCCCACCTCCTCATCATCGTCATCGTCATCATCGTCGTCGTCGTCAACATCATCATCGACACAACCACCATCATCATCACCACCACCATCAGCATCATCATCATCATCATCATCATCATCATCATCATCACCATCATCATCATCAGCATCATCATCATCATCATCATCATCATCATCATCATCATCATCATCATCATCATCATCATCATCAGCATCAGCATCAGCATCGTCATCATCATCATCATCATCATCATCATCAGCATCAGCATCGTCATCATCATCATCATCATCATCATCATCAGCAGCATCAGCACCCCCACCATCAGT